AGAAATAAATAATAAATAATGAATATACACAGGTAACTACAGCCGTACGCAAACAACCCCCGGGATACACTAGAAGGGCGTAGTGAATTCGGACTTACCTCAGTTATAAAATTGAAACCCCACGCCGGAACCCTATTGAACAGGAGTAGAGGTTTATCCCTTGTTTTCCTGTTTCCGGTTTCTGGTTCCTTTTAAAGTTTTATTCGCTTTCATTCTCAGTAAACCCTTGAATCTTAGTGGCACTATCACCTTGCTTGGGGTGAATTGATTAAAAACAAAAATAAAGTAGTTACAAGATCGGTATCCTATAAAGCTAATGGTAATATTAGCCACTGGGGAAACATTTGGCATTCATTGACCGAAAAGCCACTGCCAATTTCGTTTAAAATTTATAAAATCTTTTTATTGAAACAATTTTTAAGGAAAATAGGTTTCTCAAGTTGACTAAATGTTATAGCTCTTTTCAGTATTGATTGGAGTGGTGGGGTGCTTCCTTGTTTGTTTTTTTTATAAAGTGTAGAATGAAAATATCTTGATTATACCATTATTTTCTTTTCGAGTTACACGTGATATCACTTTTGTTTTTGCTGTAATAGGAATAAAGATAAACCTTTCCAGAAACTATGATCTGGAAAGAAAGCAGTGATGGTACTTACCCTGAATCCACCATAAAAATGAAAACATTCTCTATCAAGTGTTCTAAGAAATAGGACTCAAAATAAACCTTTTCGAAAGAGAAACTATGATTTAGAATTTGAATGAAAACAGTGATGGTACCTACCCTGAATCAATCATAAAAATTCATGATGTGAAATTAGTAAATACTAAACACTTCAAATACTTTGGTGTATAGATCAGTTATAACAAATTTAGTACAGGAGATGAGGAAATTGAATATAGAATGATTTTACTATTGATGTTTAATAGAAATGATTCTACGAAAGATGTTTATTAGGAATGATTTACTATAGGATTCCATTGGGAATTATTTTACTACAGCAAAAAATGATGTTATGCTTTATTAAACAAATACATCAACATTTGAATTCAATCTAATGATCACTTGTATTATGAGAGTAAATACTAAAAAGCGTGCATAAGTATTGAATGGAAATGATTTTACTATAAAAATGCATTGGAAATTAATTTACTATAGAAATGCATTAAAATAATTTTACTATAGAATTACATTGGAAGTGACATTGCTACAGATATGCATTGGAAGTGATTTTACTACAGAAATACACTCGAAGTGTTTTTTCCTTCAGTAAAAAATTGAAGGCAATATATAATAAACAAATACATTCATTATAATGGTTAAATGTGCTGTGACAGAGTAAAATATATAGAAATGCATTGGAAGTGATTTTGCTATAGAAATGCACTAGAAGTAATTTTACTACAGTAAAATAATTGAAAGCAGTATTTAATTAAAAAAACGCTTGTAGGCTGTCATTTACTCTAATGATTGCCGAGTATGCAGGCAAGTTGTCGTAATAAATACTGCTTAAAAAAAAAAAATAAAAAACGGAGCGTTTACTCAAATACAGGTATCCACTAAAAATAACGTTTGAAGTAATAAAAATACGTTAAAATAAAAAAAAAAAAATAAAATCCACGAATCTTTTAGAAATTGCTTTGATTACGTTTCGGATAAGAAACTGAGTAGATATGCCTGTCGATAAAATCTGAACGAATGAGTGTGCTTTAAAGCCGAACAGAACGTTGCTTGATTGTGAAGACCTTCATAGCCGAGCGGTCATAGTGACACAGTAAACACTAAAAGTATTTAAGAGAATTCAATGGAAATGATTTTACTATAGAAATGCATTGGAAATGAATTTATTATAGAAATGCATTAAAAACGATTTTACTATAGAATTACATTAGAAGTGACATTGCTACAGAAAAGGCAAATAGAACCTTGTATTATTTACATTATTCGGACTGATATCCTAATTTTCATTGCCATATTCACGACGTTTCTGCCGTTGTACGTTACGGCCTTCTTCAGGTGATTGGAATTTCGAACCGAACCCTTCATTTCGTCCAGCGGGATAGATTGTTCTAGTTCCACGTGCCATGCCTCTTCCGAATGTCTCAGTTATTTCCCTTTAAGTCAACTCTCCAAATTTTGGTTCACCACTGCTGTGGCGTCGTATCGAACTTGCATTAGAAAAATCTACCCCGTTGGACGAAATAAGAGTTCGGTTCGAAATTCCAGTCACATGAAGAAGGCCGGAGCGCACAACGGCCGAAACGTTGTGAATATGGCAATCAAGATGAGGATAACGGTCCGAATAATGTAAATAATATATGTAATAATAATACCTCATCGCAGAGATATAGGCAAATAAAATCGTGCTTGATAGCCGAGCTGCCATAGTAACACAATTGAATGTATTTATGACAACACACTAGAAATGATTTTTGTACCGTAAACGTTTCAGTTCAGGATCGGTTAATAACAAATACGTGAAAAAAATACAGTTGTCTTATTGCGCCAACGACATTTGTACTTGGTATATATAGGGCAACCATTCGGCTTTCATTATCACTTCCAATTGACTTTATTCTTACTTCCCTACTCTTCTTCTTATCTTCAGTTTATTTTCTGGACCAACAAACGAAATATTTCTGGTGATAAGGAAACGTTGACAATTAAGCCGCAAAATTTCAATTTTTGAGCTAAAATTTGTTTTAGCAAATTTTCGACACTCACTCTGTTTGTTGTGCAATCACGAAGGGACTATCAGTAGAAACGAATTAAGGCCAGCATTACTGATAAAAGAGGACTTTTATATGTATTAAGGAAATACGTTGCTAAGGATTGTACTATAAGAATGCATTGAAAGTCAAGAAGAAAGGGATTGTCATTGGTCAGAAACTAAGGCAAGCATTATTGAATAAATAGGGTTATTATATGTAAAAAAGAAATACGTTACTAATGATTTTATTATAAGAATGCATTGAAAATCAGGAAAATGCATTGCCAGTGGTCAGGAATTAAATCAAGCATATTAAAATACTAGATATGTTATGCTATAAATGCAGTGCAAATAATTGCACTGTAAAAGTACGTTGTAAATTGATTTACTAGGGAGAAACCTTTTGAGTAATTTGTGTTATAAAATGCATTGAAAACCTCGAAAAAGAGTGTTCAGTAGCGATGAATTTAAAGCAAGTATTATTAACAGTATAGGAATATGTTATATATAACGTAAGTAAACTATTTTATATATAGCTTAAATAAACTACGGATGAATTTACTACAAGAGACAGGGATTATTACTGGTTAGGATTTTGGGGTGGTTTTAAATTAAACTATCTATCGTATATACTCGTGTATAAGTCGACTTTATGTATAGTGCAAACCCTGAATTTTTGACATGAATTTTAACCCCTACAGAAAAATTTACCTGTGGATACTTCAAGTGGTCACCGAATGTGAATGATTTTTAACCTCTTCAAAAAATGACCTGTGTGTAGTGCGAACCCCTATTTTTGGTATAAAAATCTGACCATAAAATCTTCTACATTCTAGTTTATATCTGGGTCTGTTCAGAAGCGGTAATGGTTAGCAAAACCAGCCTGGTTGACCATTACAAATGAGTAGTGAGTTCGATGCTAGATAGACGCTCTATACAAAAATTGTGTATTAAATAACAAGTTATGACATATCCTAAAATCAAGCAACCAACAAACAAAACAGATGTTTATATCTAGTATAGAATTTAAAGGTTGTGTGTTTGTGTATAGTGTAGGTGTATGCGTGTTCACATGTAAGCAAGATGCATGTAAAACTTGGGTTTCTACTACGGGCTGTTTATTATCTTTTTTTATATAAATTGTAGTGAAAGATAGTTCTCAATGCCTCTTGAATATATCCGGTTTTTTTTCTGGACCTGAAGTTAGGGCAAGCATCAATATAATGGTCGAGCTTAGGTTAGCCATGTGCTGAGTTGGAACGACCAAAGAAAAAGTTGATTTACTTCATAGGTGGAGGATTTGGATGACGTGTGTGGATGCCGTGCGTTGGAAAGTGCGAAAAGAGTTCAATCGATAGTGGACCGGGGAAATGAACGTTTGCCGGTGGGGACTTCCTCATCTACGTTTTACTACATCTTGCAGCAAGAGAGAAAAAAGAAGAGGAAGGAAAAGTTTGTATTTTTATAGAACTTGAACCTGACGGCGTTTAGTGATGACAAGTGGGGTAATAAAATATCCTATTTCTTTATTACTAGCATTATGGGAAAATGCATTTCTTCTTCTTTTCTTTATTAATTATTATTAATTTCTTTATTGACTTTATTTAATTTTCCAACATATCTATCTATCTATCTATCTATCTATCTATCTATCTATCTGTTGCAAGCCAGGGAATGTTACTGAATAGAATAATCACATGAAGTTTAGTACGTAGGACAAGAAGAACACATATAAGATTCGCCAGCGGTTCGTAGAAGAAGTAGTCAACTGCTACAAGTGAGTCAAGTGAATTCCACAATGAATCTACCAACCGCCCCACGCGGTCAGATGTGGCACGAGACCGAATTTAATATGGGGTACCCGAGATCGTAGGCTAAGCCAAAAATTTCCCGTAGACCCCCGTATAAAAACGGGTTCGAGTAGCTGTTTCACGAGACGACACTCTGCCCTTCAACATAGCCTCGTCTGGGGATCCTCTTTGCCCTCAGACAGAGAGTTTGACAAGCACAACGGAGACGAATCTCCTGACTGAAGGATATCTACCAACTGCCCCACGCGGTCAGATTCAAAATTCCCCGTAGAGCCTGTTTAAAACGGGGTCGGTTAGCTGTTTCCCGAGACGAGACTCCACTATTTGACATAGCTTCGTTGGGGGATCCTCTCTGCCCGGATGCAGAGAGTGTGACGAATCTCCATCTGCAGGATATCTACCAACCGCCCAACGCGGTCAGATGGTGGCACAAGGCCGAATTTAATGTGGAGTATCCGAGCCCGTAGGCTTGGTCCAAAATTCACCGTAGACCCCGTATAAAACGGGGTCGGGTAGCTGTTTCTGAAAGAGAGAAATAGACAAATAGAGAAAGAGAGATAATGAAAGAGTAGAAAGAAAAAGAGGTAAAGAAAGGAGTGAGGAGAAAAAGAGTAGAGAGAGAGAGAGAGAGAGAGAGAGAGAGAGAGAGAGAGAGCGAGAAAGGGGTAATGAGAAAAAGAGCAAGGCAATAGAAATAGAAAGAAAGAAAGAAAGAAGTGAGGAGAAAAAGGACAAGAAGAGAGAGAGAGAGAGACAGAGAGAGAGAGAAAGAACGTAGTGAGGAGAAAAAGAGAAAAGGAGAAAGAGAGAGAAAGAAAACAGTGAGGAGAAAAGAGAGAAAAGAAAGAAAGAAGTGAGGAGAAAAAGGACAAGACGAGAGAGAGAAAGAAAGGACTGAAGAGAAAAAGAGCAAGGAGAGAGAGAAAGGAGAAAAGAGCAAGGAGAGAGTGAGAGAGAGAGAAAGAGAGAAAGGGAGAAAAATAAAGAGAAGAGAAAAAGGAGAAAGAAGGGAGTAGGAGAAAAAGAGCAAGGAGAGAGAGAGAGAGGAGTGAGGAGAAAAAGAGTAAAGAGAGAGAGAGATAGAAAGAAAAGAGCAAGGAGGAAGAGAGGAGAGAGAGAAAAATAAAGGAGCGAAGAGGAAGAGAAAGAAAGAAAGGAACGAGGAGAAAAAGGGGAGAGAGAGATAGAAAGAAAAGAGCGAGGAGAAAAAGAGGAGGAGGAGGAGGAGGAGGAGGAGAGAGAGAGAGAGAGAGAGAGAGAGAGATCTATTGACAAAACATATGCAAACACGGGAATGTTTAACTATCCCCAAGACAGGAAAAGCCGAGTTAATTTGAACAATAGAACAAGTTTAAATCGTTAAAATCAGTTGTGGGCACGTCAATTTACGCCATCTTGAAAGTGTTGGTGTTTGCACGCCACTGATATTCGATTCTATTTTGCCAGACCTTTTCAGTCCAAGACAATTAATATACACCAACATCCTTTTCAAATTTCCTTTAATAATTATCGATGATTAATGAGCAGCTATATACCTTTCCAGAACACTTCAACGAACCTATTGATTATCGCAATGCTATTTATTAGACTGATTACTGCTTAAGTTTGTTTCCCAGGCTTAAACCGAACGCACACGTACAGGGCTTCTGTATTAATGTTAACATTTTTGCTCTATAATATTTGAGAGCGATGTGACTTGTAAATTTAATTCAACCTGGCATAAGGTCACGAGTGTAGGGGCTCTAGGAAACACAATTTGCTACTGTACTGATCTTAAAATTTCGTTTTATAAATATTATACCGCGGGGTGACATCTTTTTTTATCATTTCACTCCAAGCAGAGCGATAAAGCCAATAGGACGCAAGGGTTGGTGAGAGTTAAAGAGTTTGAGAAAAAAGATTACGGAGAGAGGGAAAAAAAAAACAATAATTACGAAGACAGAAGTTAACACTTGATATTGCATTTTGATTTTTAAGATCAAAATTAACTGGAAAGCAGGAAGTCGGAAGTAAGAAGTGCGAGAAAATAAACGGTTAGCATTGCATCTAACAATTTCAACTGTAAAATAATGAGACCTAACTGCCAATCTAGTACTGCGCTTGAATTCATAAAGCCGAGGTACCAAAAATGGAAAGCAATATTTATTTTGAAAAATACAAAAATATGGCACAAGTCCAAAAGTGGGGATAGGAGTCTTCAATTTTACTTATCTTAAACTCAGCTAGCCACGATTGCTAACCCAAACATACCACAGTATTCTTTACACCAAAACAAACACATTCTTACTTACCATTCTCACTACAGTCACTATAATACCCCAGAGTCTCTATGTAGTCCTAACTAGTTCCTATATGTACAATTTGTCTGTGGGTGATGAATATAAAAGAAAAGTTCATCAGAACAATTACCATGAAAATATTTATAGAAAAAGCACAGCGAAGCTACTTTACGGTGATGAGAAAGTGACAGAAACTAAGATACCAAGTCAGGGACAATAATATTGCAGATTTTTCTTTGGATTTTGTCAAGAATCTCTAGTTATATTACAGAGGCATAAACGAATGTCATACTTCTAACAGAGTAACAGATTTTGTCGAGAAAAGCTGTCTAGAACATGACAGTGAGCCAACTCTCCTAGCAGTAGACCTAGCAATTGATTCCATGGAGCTATATGTAGGAGGTATTATATATATATGCTGAAACCTCCTGACGAGTGCAAAGGACGATTACGAAAAAGTTCGTCTACGAAACTCCAATGTCAATGTGCTGAATATAATATTACTGTGCTAAATGACAAATTTTATTTGCATTAATTAATTTTTCTTTCTTTTTTTTCTTCTCTCTCTCTATAATGAATATATCACACTTAGTCACGAAACGAAGACCGAATACCCTTTGCTGATGTTTTATTATAAGCTGATATATTTCGTCTTTCAACGCCGTAGAACGAAAAGGTTGATTTGCTCTTTTTAAGGCTTCTACCACTTTCAAACGGCCGCGGTAATTCCCATGGGTCAACACGGCACCAAATCTATCACTTCGTCCCCAGCCCCTCAAGCTCCGGCGTCTTCCTCTTTGGGTTGAAAGGTGTCCACTCGGTCCGAATCGAACTTCATCTTGCGGCCTCAGTCGAGATTGAACTCACCAATACTTTGATTGGTGTAGTTCATAATCTTGTCAAATAGCTGAATTCTTGATGCTTCGCTAGGGCTATCAAGGGTGTTTTTATCGTGACACCAACACTAAATGGATTGCCAACCAAGGCTCAGAGAGACTCCATTCACCCTCCTCTAAGAGCAGGTTTGAATTCAGAGTTTTCCTTCTCCTAGACCAGTTGCCATCCAAGGCTATAGAACCCAGTCTGTACTGCTATTTAACCATAGCTGGAGGGAGAAGAAAGAGGATTCACACCTTTCCCAAGGGTGTTAGCACGTAAGTGAATGTAATGGATTCGACTGGAATTCGAATTCGGCTCTCCGATTCCTCAATCCAAGCCGCTATCCATTACTCCACCGTGCCTCCGAATTTACCTCCGAACTTAGGAGTAACTGGCCGTACGCTTCCTGAGTATCCGTAGATTATTTCGACCGGTCAGCTGGTCAAGTCCCGCTTGCTGCCCACGCTGTGTTAGTTTTTAGATCCAGTAAGCGGGGTGTTGTCCATACGGTCACGGTCGACTGGGGGGGAGGCTGTGAGAGTTGGCAGTAGGAAGTTTAGAATGTGGCAAAATAAAACAAGAAATAATATCTGCAGAAGCCAGGCAACAATGGGGGAAATATTGACGTCTTTTATATAAGAAGATAACATCAGAACAGAGGTTACAGGGAGAATAAAAACATTTAACATAAATGAGAAAAGAAAAAAACAAAATGCATCCAGTGAATTCGAAACAGAGAGAGGGTTTGTGTGTGATAAACGCGTATTGAATCGCCTGGGGTAGGTTTATGACTAGTAGTCCAGTCTCATACAGACTTCTCAGAACAGTGGGGTAGTCTTCCTTCTCTCCTCCAAAATTCTCCCGCAAATCTCTCGTGACTCTCTCGACGACGGTCTCGTTCTCCGAGTCTCTCTCTCGTCGTTTTGTAGCACCGCGACCCGTAATGGTCGCCTACGGGTGCTCACGCACGTGACGACGATGTGCCGACCGATCGCGGTCTCTCCCGTCTCTCTCTCCCGTCTGGCCTCTTCCGTCTCGCTCGACCGTCTGCTTCCCTTTCAGCATAACTACGCTGGTTTATATAGATAAATCTGTTTGATCATGAATCGACCCTTGACCCGGCACCCGATTATCATGAGTGCCAAAAACTATCCCAAGACATGTAAAGCGATTCTTCAATTATTTACCACGAGTTCTCGCTTCACCAAAATTATACTTTGGGATATCTAAACATTGATTCAACCTTTTAATCAAAACAAATACTGTTAAACAAAACCAAATATCTCGTAGCCTGAGTAAGCTCTATTTCCATTTTTAACCGATAAATTTTATTTAGATCATTTTTTCATTGTTTTTTTCTAATGACCCAGATTTAAAACATCGCCTCCTGCCTGAGATCGTGTTTCTCATCGGTAAACACACATCTTAACCCAAATTGTACTTTGATATATAAACACCGTTTCTACTTCCAGTCAATAAAAGTTATATTTTCGTGTGTGCATTCATGTGAGTGTGTGTGTATGTGTATGCCTCTCTCTGTTACAGGCTTATGAACGCTTTGTGGCTTATTTAAAGCTGAAACATATTTTATATTTAAGAATATTATAACGAATCCTGTTCAACGAACCGCGAAACAGAATTAGACCTGAAATAGTACAAGAGGACTGCGGTTTTATTAAGGTCATTGGAACAAGAAATGTGATATTTACGATTAGAATGATATCAGAGAGAGCTTTTCTTTTTACGTGCCGTGTCCGTTTAGGACGTAGGCGATCATGGCTCTCCACTTCTCCCTATCCTTTGTAGCTCTCAATAAGTTTCGTCCCTCTGCCACATACCCCCCTAGATCACGTTCTGTCATCCATTTGCTTAAGCCCACCAAGTATGTCATGCGTTGCTTTCCCTCTTTTCCTCTATTCGACCTGTGAGTATCAGGTTCTCCAGACCCTCCCTTCTCATTACGTGTCTCAGAAACTATAGCTGATCCTTCCTGATGTTAAGTATAAGCCTCCTCTTTGTTTGTATCCTCTCCAAGACCTCTGCTCACACGCTCGGTTCATGGTATCCTCAGCATCCTTCTGTAGAACCACATCTCCGTCGCCTCGAATCTCTTCTTCGTCTTTGAGGAGACCGTCCAGCATTTGCTGCCGCAAAGGAGGACAGATATCACCTAACAGCCTAATACTCTTTTTTTTTGTTACCCAAGAGATACTCCTGTTTCGCAATACTATGTTCAGCTTTTAGAATGCGTCCTTGGCTATGCCAATACGTCTACAGATCTCAGTGTCCCACTTACCGTCCTCTGTCAAAAACGCTTCCCAGATATTTTAACTTCCACGTCTGCTTGATTCTAGTGTTCCCGACCTGCAAATCGCATTTCGGGCTCAACCATTTGACTGATGACCATGCATTCTGTCTTCTTGTAGTTTATGCTTAGTCCTTTCTTCTCGCTCTCCTTCTCTACCTTCTGTAGGAGGTTATGTAGTTTCTTTTCCGTGTCTGCTATCAAAGAGAGAGCAATACAAATGGAAAGGGATGCACACATATGGTTTATAGATTACGCAAAAGAATTTGTCAAATTATGACACAAAGATCTATTTCACTGGTAGAAAAGTTTGTCTATTTGGAAAAGATGTTAGAATGATCCAAAACTTATACTGAGAGCAAACCGTCTGCATACGGATAGAAAATATATTGAGTGCCTATAAAAAAAATAGAAAGGGGCCTGAGACAAGGATACATCTTCTCTCCGGATTTATTGCGCCTTTAAAGCGAGCCTATACTAAGGGAGCTGGGGACCCTACCAGGATTTATTATCGGTGGCCATACTATCAGTAATATAAAGTACGCAAATGACTGTGTTAATAGCTGATTCGGAGAGAAAAAATACAGGACCCCCTAGAGAAAGTAGTAGGGGAAAGCGAGAAAAAAGGACTAATCATCAATTGCAAAGAGACAGAAAGTGTTGTCATCGGCAAGAGAAAAAGTTCAAAATGAAATAAATAAATAAATATCTGGGAAGTGGTTTTAATAGTGGATGGAAAGATGACATAACAAAATAGGACACGGACTGGATTAGCGAAAGATGCACTTCAAAAACTAAGCAAAGTACTAAGAAACAGGAAAAATCGTTAGAAATAAAGAGAAAGTGTTCTGGGCTTCTATATTCGCTTATATTGCATTGAATGCAGGACAATCTCCTCACAGATGAAGAGAAAACAGGAGGCAACAGAAAAGTGGCTCTACAGGAGGATACTGAGAATTCCATGGACAGAGTGAGAAAGCAACGAGGAAGACCTAAAGAAAATGGTAACAGCAAGAAAAATTCCACTTATAATCAGAATCAGACAGCTGAAGTTTCTTTGACACATAAAGAGGAAGGAGGGTTCAGAAAACTTAATCCTCACGGGGCGTATTGAGAGCAGGAGAGATAAGAGAAGGCAGCAGGCTTCTGACTAGCTTGTATGAATAGATAGTGGATCGTTGGCAAAGAGAAAAATACTGCTAAAGACCATAGGGAAGTTGTGGAGAGTAATGATCGCTTATATCCTGAAGAAACGCGCTACATAATAGAATATAGCATTAACAATTATCTGAGAATAACAATGTTTTTACCAGACACGTATCCTACTATTTAACCTATAGCTGGGGAAAAGGGATAGATTCATACATTTTCACGTAGTGAATATAAAAAACTCGAGTGGGATCCGAACTCGGTTCTCTAGTTTCTCATTCGGAGTCACTATCCATTGCCCCACCAGAATATCCACTAGAAATAAACTATAACAAACAAATAATACATAAATAGAAGATTACTACATACATATAAATTGTTTCTAGGACAATTGCGTACCAGACAATTGCATCCCTGAACATTTACGTCACTAGACAAATGCCTCCCTCGTTAATTGCGTATCTCTGATCATTTTTTGAAGCTTTTAAAGGCAATTACCACAAATTGTGAAAAAAGCCTAAGTAATAATCATAAATTAAAAAAAGAATAAAAGTAATAAAATAAAAGAAAATTAAAAGTTTATTTTTGTTTAAAATGCAATGACAGATTAACAGTGTTGCAATATCTCTCTGCACGTTACCAGTATGTTTTTCTTTCTTTCTTTCTTATGATAAAGGTAGCTATAATTTTCTTCGTCCACAAATATATTTCCACCAGTGTTTGATTTTCGGAACTTAGCCATGGGTTCCAAATAAAAATATAATCTATAAAATCCAGAATCTATTAGATGTTTGTGATACACACTGTTGGAGTGAACTGAAACTGTTAGCTTAATTATATCTTGTTTTAAAAAAGAAATTTTCCTCTTTTTTTTTATTTATGGTAACTTTTTGCTTGTTCAGAGTGATTAAAGGTATTGCTGTGCAAATTTATAGATTAAACAACTCTTTAAATATAAAATAGTAACTCCAAAAAATTATAAGCGTTACACAACTGTCCAGGACACAACTGTCAGTCCCCCATACAAATTATTGAGATTTATTGTATATACATACAATTATGGCACAAGGCCGAAAAGGGGGAATGGATTGAGGCTGGTCATCACTAACTCTCTTATACCTAGGTCATCCGATTCACGACCCATTCACTCATTACAATTAGCACATTCAATACAAGAATTCATCCGTGACCAATCAATCCTCCATGTACCATCATAATACCCCATACTTTCAGGGAAGCTAAAAAACGCACCTCGTGACGTAAAAATTTGATTATAAAATATTTATACATAAAAATCTATGGATGATTTGCAATGAGAGAGGAGAGGGATGAACCAAAACAAACTAAATATCAAACAAACAAACCAAAGATAAAAAATTATATAAATAAAAAAATATATTCAGAATATATATATATATATATATATATATATATATATATATATATATATATATATATAGCGGGGAAAAATATTCGTACACACAAATTTTTAATTTCTACAGAAAACAGCATTTTTGATTTAGTAGAAATAAATCCCATTTATCCATTTTAATGGATGAAAAAAGTATTCATACAATGTAAATTTCACTTTTTCAAACTTTTAATTTGCTTTAATACTCTAGAATATTCAAGTGGAATATTCTAGAATGGTTCAATAATGTTATCAGTAGTTATTTTTAGCCTAAAAAATATAAACAGAACATTCTGTAACTGATATTCGTGCAAGAAGCTTATGATCATGGCAAGTGGTAAAAAATTGACAAATTCGCTAAAAGAACTGATTGTTAAGCTCTGGAAAGAAGGTAAAAGTTACAGGAAAATCTCAGATAACCTGAATATTTCTTTTATTACGGTCAGTTCATTCATTGCAATGTATAAAAAATCTTCGAACAGATGGACAGATGAAACTAAAATTGAGTTGTTTGGACCTATTTCTAAAAATAATGTATGGAGGAAAGATGGCGATGCCTTCAAACAAAAGAACACAGTTCCAACAGTGAAATTTGGTTTGGGGATGTTTTTCTGAATAATGGTACTGGCAGCATATCAGTAATAGATGGAAGAATGAATGCCGCAGCATATCAAAGTATTTTGGAAGCAAATTTAATGATTTCGGTTGCAATCCTTGAACCTCTTCCTGATTGGATCATCCAACAAGATAATGATCCTAAGCACACTGCAAAATCTACGAAGAAATGACTTGGTGAAAATAATCTAGATATCCTGAAATGGTCAAGTCAGTCCCCAGAATTAAAAACAATCAGGAATCTGTGGCTTTATTTAAAAATTCAAATCCAATCGAGCGCCCAAACAAACATCCCGGATCTGAAGACCATATGGAAAGAAGAGTGGAACAAAATACCAATTAAAATTCGCAGATCATTACTTGAGAACTATAAGAGGTTGTTTTCTGTAGAAGTGAATAATGGCTATTCTATAAAGTATTAAATGAAGATTATGTATTCTTTTTGTATTGTATGAATACTTTTTTCACTCATTAAAATGGATAAATGGGATTTATTTCTGTTGAGTAAAAAACTGTTTTTTTATGCATATTTAGTTATTATGCATATATGAAAAGTATGTTTATTCATTAGTTGGAAATACAACA